CCCCCGCCTTGGGTGTCTCCTTCATTTTGCCAATGTTAAAAAAGAAAACAAAGTCTGGTTTTGCTCATGTCCACATAGTTTCATAGACTTGAAATATGGAAAAATGTTATCAGATGCATGCCTTGCTAGTTGTGTAGGGGGTTTCTTAAATTTGCCACTCTACGGGCTATATCTCAGTTCCTATTGCTCAGGAGAGACTTTGGGTGTAATTCTGAAGATTTTTTCCTAACCTTGTACTGGCAGGTTGGAAAACAGGCCCTTCCTGGTGGGAGAAGGAGCCGGACGTTTGCCTTTTCGGAAAGAGGCTCTGCCGAGGCCGAGCGCCATGAGATGTTCCGTCTCTGGGAAAGCACAGATCCCCAGTGCTGTTGTGCCTGTAGATAGGGCGCCAAGGGACGGTGAAGAGCAGCAAGAGCTTTCAGGGCTGGGCCCTTCCTTGTGGGAAGAGGAGAGAGGCAAAGAAGATTAAGATGAGTAACTGGGGAGGGACTGAAGAACTGAGGAGATCTGACAGGTGGAAATATAGAGCATAATAGGTCTAATTCTGTGTCACCTCTTATTCTGTCCAAAGTAATTTCTCTTAGAAACTTGTGAGCCTGGGGTATTCTTGACTGGGATGTTCCTTTCAGCAAATAGTGGATCTCATCAAATCTATGGTGTTTGACCCAAGCAGAGGCTGAAACTCACTCTTGGAGTGTCTTGTTCAGCCATGCCATGTAGTTACAATACTAGTTTTTGTTATGTGGCTGGGTAGTATTTTTCATAAGACCCTTTCCATAGCTATCATGGACTGTGTGGGATGAGCATAGTTCATAATGATTACTTAGGAAATGAAGTAAAAAGCACTTTTACCAGTTGTTGCAGCACTTAAAAAAAAAAATGTAATTAGTGAAGCAGAAAGAAAAAAGATAGTCTCATGACTAAGGCCACATACTGAAGAATGACGGTAAATGCAATATTAAAAATGTACTTACATGGCGAACACTGGCCAGTGTGCACTGAATGGGTTCAGTGGAAAAGTGGTACATAATCAGAAAATCTTGATATCACTGTCAGCATAAGTGTACAGAAGGGGCTGAGCTGACTTGCATAGATTGCTTTCCTAACTTTTGAACAGTCATCTTACAAGCCTTACTGATAATCCTCTGACTGTGTTTTTGGCAAATAATATACATGTAACTACAATGAACTTTTCAAGAGCAGACCATGTGTTTATAATCTATCATGTAAACGAAATAAAAATGTTAAAGATATTCTCATATGGAAAGTCCACTATTAATCTATCGACATTAAGATTTTAATCTCCCCCTTCCACCCCAGAAAATAAATAATAGGTTACTAAAGTTTCATTCTGTTTCAAAAGTCTTAGATGCAAACAAGATGTATCAATAAAACTGCTTAGTTAATGATTTCAGCATTTTTGAATTTTTAAGTTGAAGCTCTGGTAATAGAATACCCCTAGAAATAAAATGCCACATAAAATAAGTATAAATTGGTAAATAAGGTAAATGCCATATTGAGT